CTTCTTTCAATCTTACCAATGTCATGGCATCATACAGTCAAGGCTAGAAATGGGGTTAATCTTCAGTAAGAGAGGATCCAGGGAAGACTGTGGCATTGGAAGCACCAGGAGTCTGTCTTCTAATGATTGCACTGTCAAATTCTGCCTACAGTAATGATTCAGGAATTCTGGAGCACAGTGAAACTTTGCAACTTCCAAGTCAAAGGTGGGATGGTAAATTACAGTCAATTTCCAGACTGGCAAACCAATGGCATGCTCCTAGTGTTTGTGCTCCTGGAAGTGCCTGCTTCATCTAGTAGAAGTCTTGGGGGCTTAAGAACTCCCTGGGTTACATATTAGCGAACTATGTTCTAATTGCTGATTGTACTTAGTCCTGGAGATAGTGCCACAGAAGGGGGAAGGCACAGTTATAACGTTTTCACACTATTAAAAGCTACCTCTCCCCTGGAATTTAAATGACCAGTACCTTTTTTCTTATTAACCCCTTCTTTTTCCTCCCTGCACAGGCAGCCATTTAACTGATCTAGAACATTCAAAAGCATTTGTATACACAGTGGAATTTAGAACATACTGCACATGAATAGGTCAAGGTAACATCTCACCAAAAACCCAAGGAGAGCTTGTTTACACCTCACATGGATCCCTATGGGGTACAAAGTTGCCTACAGGTACTAAAAAAATAAAAACAAATCAAATTCTGGAGAAAGAGGGGACTGTTATTCCAGAGCTTCCATAGTTGCATGTCCAGGTTTCAAGAAACACGGAAAGAAGGAGGAAAGGAGAGAGGGGTGCAGGGAAGGAAGAAGGCAGCTAGAGATAACGATGCATAGGAGATATAGTCAAAAGGCACTTACCCAGTGAGTGAATACACAAGGTGAAAAACACCCCAAAAAGGCAAATTAAAGGAGACGCCTAACAGATGAAATCCAGTAATGGGGCATTTAGAAGAAGCAGGGCTGCTTCTCAATCCTGGCACTGTTTACGCTGCAAATTTAAGATTAGTGGTGACCCTATTTTATTGGGTGTCCAAAAGTGCAAATTAGCAAAAATTCTGGGGAGTTGTGTACCAAATAGTGAAATTTCTCACTTATAAAGAAAACAAAATTTGGGTGGGGATTTGGCTCAGTGGTTCTGCTGCCTGCTTTGTATGCACAAGGGCCCAAGTTTGATCCCCAGTACCAAAAAACAAACAAACAAACAAAAAAAAACCAAAATTCAATTCTGTATATTCATTCATACATGGAAAAACTGAACCAAAATCTTTCCTAATGATTCCAATAAGTAAAACCCCAAGCAGAAAAAAACGATTTGTCTTTATTCCCATGCAGATCATAACTCTCACATAGGTACAAAAAAGGGCATGCAAAAATATTTTAAAATAGTTCATATTCATGAATAGTAATGCAAATGTTAGGAAGGCAGTCTAAAATTGCTCTGCTATGGTAGTTTAGTCATAACTACATAAATATTTAAAAGCAGAATAACTCAAGTGCAAATTATGAGCATATATTCCTAACATTTTGTTAATTCATTTCCCAACGACATTGTTATGATCCATTTCAACTCTGAGAGCATAACAATTTGTACTATGGTGCAATATAGTACCACAATGAGGTGAGATAGTCATAAATTGGTAGCAAAAGACATCATGCATAATGCATAGGTTGGGAAAAATACATTTTATTCATTAAAATATGAGAAACATGATACATCATAAATAAAATGGGATCCAAGTGATGCAGTAATGGCAATCCTACATATAAAGAGTATATTCTGGTTTCCTATAACCTCTCTCCGATAATTTTCCTCTTCAGGCCCTAAGAATATTATTTTACTAACTTTTCCTCTATAGCAGTTATTTCTTTCAAAGGATAAAACAAAAGAAAATCTATAATAATGCTTTTTAAAATGTTCTTTTAAAAGGTTTTCCATTTTTTTGATACAGGGGATTGAACTCAGGACCTTGCGCTTGCCAGGCAGATGCGGTGCCACTGAGCTACATCCCCAGTCCTTAAAAGCGTTTTTAACAATTTGTTGTCCCTAGTATGACTTTTCTCATGTGTAGTTGTGAGTGGTTAACTTACCCGCGAAAGGGCTACACTATGTGCCTGTTGCACATCCTCCAGATGTGTAGCAAAATCAAAACTAAAGAAATGACTGAGAGTCCTGGAAAGGTAGAGAGAGACTGAGAAAGCCCCACGCACTTTCCCCGGTCCCTAAATGTCAATGTTTTTACATACCATGAGACATTACCCCAAGTCATGAATGGGCAGTGGGGAACCCAGAAGAGGCCTGGGCAAGCAGTGGTAAGACCTCAGCTCTGATCTATGTGCACTGAGAACTGAATATAGAACAAGAGACCAAGGAAGAGAGAAGCCTGCTTACAAACGGCCCACTCAGGGTCCTTCAAGGTCAAGGCACGAAAGAGGACATGGGGGTAGATAATATGAATTCATTACAAAGACAATGCTTTGGTACTTTCATGGGCTGCACCATCAGTGGAAGTCGGCAGGGTAAATTGGTACAAGGCAGAAGAACATGGTAATTTAAGGGAAAACAATTTTTTAAATCACATTATTGTTTGTTATATATTGTTTTATTATTGCAGAAATGTTTGTTTTCACACAGGACTCTCATATTTAGGAAGAGTTTCCCACATACTCTTTATACATGTGGCTTCCTCTTCACCCAATCAGCTCTTCTCTGGGACCACATCTTTGCTATATTTGCACACATTGGTTCTTTGCTATTTTTTACCTTCTTCTCCACAGGCAAGTATTCTTTCTCTTGCTCCAAAATGGAGATAATATTCAGGTTGGAAATAGATTTCTATTTATAAAGTGAAGTAATATGATGTGCTGTGGCTTTTTTAGAATAATATCTCAGCCTTGTGTTCAGCTCCAGGAAAGCCTTACAGATCACCTCAAAAATGTTTCCCAAATTTATCCACTGACTGTCTTTATCTGAATGCTTAGAAATATGATTTCTAGTTCTTTTCCAGAATGACTAGATCAAGTGTACAGAAATAAAACCAAATTCAAAATTGGAATCTTTTTATTATTTGCCATAGGTCTTCTACTTACTCACCTTTTGGTACAAATAATAGTCTAGTGTGAAGCAGTAGTCACAACAACTGCAGAAAAGGAAAGGTTAAAATCTAGATGATTCTACCATGATACTTTTACTTTTCCAGTGAATAGAAGTTCAATCTCAAGAAAGGCAGGGCTCCTAAGAGACTCTCTAGAGCCTATTGGAGGGAAGCCACTGTCAACAGGAGACGAAGTTGTCTCTGAGCTGAAAAACACCACTGCTCAGTGAAAGAGCCAACTGTGACACCTGTCATTCATGGGATAGGTAAGAAGTGATGATAAAGAAAACCCTACTCTGACCTCATAGGAAGCAAACATTTTCCCACAGATCTCTCTCATCACTGAAGTTTCTAAACACTATTTAATGTTGCAGTTTCTCTGCCCATCTGAGCTCTTACCCACAGCTCACACTTTTGACACATTCCCGTTCATTTGGGTTTCTGGATACTCCCACTTGGCCATCCATCCCGGGCTCTCTCCCTTGCTCCAAACATGGAGCAAGGTCAAAAGGAGAGATTCCTGCTTGGAAAAAAAATAGGCATGTGATGCACTGTGGCTTTCCCAGATATCATCAATTTACTTGAGAAAGAAATTATACAGTAATCTACATAAATTTTTCACTGTTCTATGCAAATATCTAGCAGTCTTCCAAGGACCAATGATGAAAAGCACAGGGATTAAAAAAAAGGGGGGAGACTGGCTATTTCAGCTCTGGAACCACACAGGTTATCTATGACAAAGAGGGCAAAAGTCTTGCATAAAGAGGGCACTTCAAAGTCCAGATGCTGGGTTGTGAAGCTTCACATTTCAGAAGCAACACAGCATCTGTCTCAGTCAAACAATGCAGAGGATTCCATGAAGACACAAGGGGAAAGGCAGAGAGACACAGAGTAGATCTGACTTCTGGAAGAGAGTTATCCTCACCCAGGGAGACCAGGTTCCTGTAGTTCTCCAACATCATGTCCCTGTATAAAGTCCTCTGAGCAGGGGCCAGGTCTTCCCACTCCTCCTGGGAGAGTTCTCTGCCCACAACAGACTTTGAAACAAAAAACACTTTTCACCCATCGAACACAGGGAAAGAGCTTAATTGCACACAAAATGTGAGTGGGAAAGAAATGTCAAGGATCAATTTGACTGTTGTGAGTATCCTGATAGATCATTCTAAGCTAGATAATTTGGGGCAAGTTATATATCTCTAGTTTTGTTTTATGAGATCTTTCAGAGGATATGAAATCCAACAAATCACTGTGGATTTCACATATTCGTGGACACTAAAAGAAATATACAAATGAACAACAAAGTCATATATGTGGAAAGGCTACATATGATGCTCCTTACACCATATTCGATACTTAGAGAAGCCACAGTATAACTCAGGTCTGACAAGTTCACATGCATCCAAAAAAAATGTTTATCCATTTAAAGGTAGGTAACAAGGTAGATAGCTATTAAAAGCCAAATGGACTCTATTACACTAGTAAAATAATGACTCAAAATGAGGAAATTTACTAATGTTGTATATTCATTTAGCAAATTGAAACAACAACCACCAAAAGTTCAGCAGGGCAGCACATACTTGCAATGGGGTGGGGGAGGGTCCAGCGGCAGCGCTGAGCCAGGAGCAAATTCAAGCCCAGACTCCAGAACTTATGACACTACAAGAAACGCTCTGAATTTTTTTTAAAATGGGTTTGTTTAGTACTGAGGATTAAACCCAGAGACCTAGCACTGTGATAATTCTGCAGGTTTTGGTTTTTTTGAGATAAGACCTTGTTAAATCTTGTGTTAAATCGCGTCTCATTTCCATGCCTCCAATTCCACCTTCTCAGAGTCTCCTCTGAGTCCGCCCTACCTGTCCACAGTAATTTCCCCTCACTCTCCACTCCATCGGCCTCTCCCTCCTCGCCTTACCCGTTGGCAGGTGTGGAATCAATACGTCCCTCGCCCAGAAAAGCGCTTCCTGGGCGCCCGGGCCTTCTTCACCACAGGATGCTGGGCCACGAGGGCGCCGGTGCGCAAGCGCAGGAAGCTCCCCGGCGCTCGGTGTCAGGACCAAGAAGGGGACACCAGCGGGGCTTCGAGCTCCCGGCCTTCGGCCCCTGCCGCCCCGCCCCTAGACCCGCCCACCTCTCGCGTTTCCCCGCCCAGGCCCGGCTTCTTGGCTGCGCGCGCAGCGTCCTGCAGACCCGGAAGTGCATCCCGTGAAGTGGAGGTCACGGCGCTGCGCGTGAGTTTCCCTCTATCCGGATTGTCAGGATTTGAGTCCCTGGTGACCATCGGGTCCCCACACCGCCCCCTCCTCACAAGTCCATTCGGACGCCGCGGGGAGAGCCACGTGGGCCCTGCGGGGCGCCGGAGCTCGAGGCCGATCCTACCCTTCCCTTCCGGAGCGCGGCGCCTCCCTCCGCGCCGC